TCTGTCCTTCATACCTTTATGACAACCATGTGTCCCTTTTTTAGATAGATCTTTAACTACCTAGGTGGACATCTTTAATTGTCACTTATCTCCAACTCCTTTGACTTCTCCTAAAAATAAAGTTTTCACTTGAATAATCTTCTAAACCTGATTACTAATTACTACTCTCATTTTACCTTGACATCAATCTCAAAAGCTAAGAATTTTAAGTGAAAAAGCACCCTTAGTAAGTGCTATTAAAAAAAGTCCAATGATTAAGAATACTGGAATTAGATGAGACTATTGTGGTGTGCTTGAGCGTATGTATATACACACTGGAGGCAGGTTCTGAATGTTTAAAACCTCCCCTTGTCTCAGGCCTACCATAAACCCACAACAGATTATTTAAATTCAGTTCCTTACAATCGCTGGTTGGATTGACATTTTGTTCGGCTTGAAGTGGCATCTTCAACTTCCTCCTGCCTCTTGCAATTAGAAAGAAAGAGCCCGAGAAAACAGGCTATCCAAGATTACAGACACTCAGGTCCACACTGGTACTGAGCAAGCTGATCAGGGAGTATGCTAGAGAAGGCAGCCTGGGATGTAACAAGTCCAAAAATAAACACTTCGTGGAAACATCTTGTGCACCTGGCTCTTCAGGCAAAATTAATCTAGCTAGAGAACTGTAGGTTAACTCCTAGAAAGCAGTTGTTAATTCAAATCATGTCTCCATGTTTTCATGCCTTTCACTGTCTCTGAAATCTACTTTATGGAAAATTATTTTTGCAGGAGAAATGGATACGAATTTAGAATCACTTTTCAGTAGAATAGACAATGTTTTGAAGTGGCTTAAGTGCTCACTGCCAACCAAAAGGAAGGTCAGTAGTTCAAATCTGCCAGCCACTCTGTAGGAGCACGATGGGACAATCGGCTTCTACAAAGGTTTACACTCTGGAAATCCTCTGGAGCCGTTCTACTCTGACCTCTAAGGTTGCTATGAATCAGAATCGACTCATGGGCAGTGGGTTTCTGGCTTTGGGGATGGATGATGACACAATAGTTGAAGTGTTAGGAGACTATAATCTCCCTAAAGAGGGGCAGCAAGTCCCTGATAAGCTATACCCAAAATGAAAGAGTAAATTATAACTAAAAGGTTGAAGGTTCAAGTCCGTGCCAAGCTACTTCAGAGATGGCACTGGTGATGTACTTCCCTAAAACCACGGAAAACTCTAAGGAGCACAATTCTGCTCGGACATCTGTGGGGTGACCTCATAGCATGCTAGACTCAACAGCAATAAGTAATAGGTAATGTTACTCTTAGTTATATTAGCTCCTTCATTCTCCAAATGCTAGATGTGGCCAATGAAAATGGTTTCTGGTAAAAGGCTTATCTTAACAGGATTAAAACAAAAAAATTCTTAAAAAATAAACTCTCTGTCATTAAGTTGATTCCAACTCAAAGCGATCCAGAACAGAGTAGAACTGCCCTTTTGGGTTGCCAAGACTTTGAATCTTTATAAGAGTAGGCAGCCTCATGTTCCACCACAGTAGCTGGTGGGTTAGAATCACTGATTTCGTGGTTAAGCAGCTCAATGGGCAACCCACTAAGCCACCACCGTATAAAAAATCAGATTAAATGCTTGTTCAAGTGTTTCTCACATCATGAACTGTGTTACCTTCAACTTATGGTCATGTTGTTATCATTGTCGTCAACATCATCATCCTACTTCCTGAAATATTTAAAACAACAAAGAAAAAAAAGCCACTCTCTAACTAGGGGAGAACTTGGCATTTGTTTCCTGTGACCAGTGAGACGCTGCCTTCCTAAGTAACTCACAAACCTGCCCCAAACTAGCATCTCCTCAAGTATCTCTGGTCACAAGGTCGAAAGATGATATGAAATCTCTCAGAGCTTTGCTCTCTCCAGAAAGTAAAGCAATCTTTCTTCCCAAAATGCAATCTTTAGAGAATTATAAATGTGTATTCTAACAAGTTCAGTTCTTCAAAACACTAAGTAAACTGAAAATTGCTTTAAGTTCTGTAGGACAACAGAACTTCAATACAAAGCTCAGTCGAAAAGCACTGCTCTAAAATCCTAGAACCCTTTATTAAATAAAAATTTCAAAATGTGTTTCTTGAGAGAACCGTCGTCTAAACCCATCCACTTCCCACACAGTCTTTTCATCTCTCTAAGCCTGTCTTGTGTCGCACAGCGGTGGCTTGTGTGTTGCTGTGGTGCTGGAAGCTCTGCCACTGGTGTTTCAAGTGCCCGCTGGATGACCCAGGGCGAACAATTCCATGGAGCTTCCAGACTAAGACCAGACTAGGAAGAAGGAACATCTGCAGGAACAAACTTTAGGACTAGCAGCAGACCGTTGTCTGTTACTTACTTCGTCCACACTCAGTGCTCAGACGCAGTGTTCAACCAGTATCACCGTGGACAAATCCGCTGTACAGATGTCTTGAAAGTATTGAAGAGCAAGGATACTGAAAGTAGCATGGATTGCCAGACAGATTATTGGAGGAAGTACAGCCAGAATACTCCTTCGAGGCAAGGATGATGAGACTACATTTCACATCCTTTGGACACATGATCAGAAGAGACCAATCCGCAGAGAAGAACGTTGTGCTTGGTAAACTGGAGGGTCAGCAAAAACGAAGAGGACCCTCAATGAGATGACTGGACACCAGGTTGCAGCCATGGGCTCCGATACAACAACAATTGGGACGATGGCGATGGCGTAGGACCGGGCAGTGCTTCGTTGTGTTGCACACAGAGCCGACACAAGTCAGACTGACTCAATGGAACCTAACTGTAGCAATCTCCCCTGAAGCACGTCACACGCTTTGGCTTCTGCCATGCCAAAGCAACAATGCTGTCATCCTCAAGGGACTCGACTTCTGTTCCTTGGAAATGTTTCCCTCCGATCGACGACCGAAGACAGTCTGGCGCTACGTCAGGACTGGGAGGCGGAGGGATGCTGCCAGTGTTTCCATTAGACCTCTTGTTAAAAGCACCCTTAACTACCCAAGATAAGACACGTGTATGAGTACCAGAACTTGTCTACAGTCACCTACTGATCACAGAGACTTGTTTAAATGCTTTTTGTTTGGAATTAACCTGCGCATGTATGAACTGGAATGTAAGTACCATTACTTTTTGGCTCGTCCTCGAATAAACCCCAGGGTGAATTATTATCCGCTGCCTTCACTGACAGCAAATGAGAGGGAAAATCCATCATCTCACGTTCTAACACTTCAATAGAAGCTTTTTAAAGAAAGCATTTAATACTCATTCATGGTATCATATATATGTAAATCATAGGATCGCTTTACAGTTTGATATGTAATTTGAATGCAAAGCACTTAGCCATGTCTATATTACAATATAATCCAGAATTGATACGCAAAACTTTTTTAATAAAAAAATAATAAATGTAAACTTCTCATTTGTGTCACTTCTCTAACTGTAGGGTGTGGGTGTGTGGATGTGTGGGTGTGTATGCACACACACACACACACACACACAGAGTAGTTGAGAGGGCTCAGGACAGAAAAGGAGAAAGGAGGCATTAGTACCCAGGGAACAATTTCCAGCCCTGGCAGAGCGGCTGGTGCAGAGTCATCAGAACATAATGAGGGCTAGCTAAGTTCAGATCTTGAGCTAGCATTTTACATGTGCTACCTTACTGAATCCACATGCATGAGAGATATGTATTATTATTATTATCCCTCTATTAAGATTAATTAATACTTTCAATGTGACATTAGTTGCTTTTCCAAAGATAGACAGGTAAGAAAAAGCATCCAAGTCCCAAAAAACAAATCCATTGTCATCCAGTCAATTCTAACTCATAGCAGCCCAGTAGGCAGAATAGAACTCTACTTAGGGTTTCCAAGACTGTAAGTCTTTGTGGGAGCAGACAGCTCATCTTTCTACTACAGAGTGGCTGGAGGCACTAACCTTGCTAGTAGCCGCCCAACACATAACCCACTGTGTCACTAAGGCTCCTTCGCCCGGATTAAAATCTAGACCCAGGATTGGAAAACTCCACCCCTCGGGCCAAATCAGGCCCACCACTTTTTGTGTGGTCTGTGAACTACTTTTCTTTTTCTTTTTGTTTTTTTCACATTTTAAAGTGGCTAGAAGTAGGGGAGAATGAAAAGAAGAATAGTGCATCATTGTGTTATTGTATAAAAGAAGAATATTGCATAATGCATAACTGTGTTACTGTTAGCTGCCCTCAAACTGGTTCCAATTCACTACTGGGCACAGCAGAACAAAACACTACCAGGTCCTGTGCCATCCTCACAATTGTTCTTATGTTTGAGCCCATTGTTGCACCCCCTGTGTCAATCCAGTATGTTACGACCCTTCCTGTTTTTTGCTGCCCCTCGAATTGACCAAGCATGATATCTGAAGTTCAAATTTCAGTGCTCATAAATAAAATTGGATGGGAAAACTGTCATGCTCATTAATTTATGCATTGTCCGTGGCTGCTTACACACTGCAATGGCAAAGTCATTAGACAGAGACATTGTGGCTTCACAGAACCAAACCCACTGCCATTGAGTCCTAGGTTTTAAGTTTGATGGAGCAGACAGCCTCATCTTTATCCCAAAAGGAGGCTGGTGAGTTTGAACCATCAGCCTTGCTGTTAGCCATCCAGTTGCTGTTAGCCATCCAGTGCTAATCCACAGTGCCAACAGGGCTCATAAAGCCTAAAATATCGACTTTCTGGCCTTTATAGAGAAAGTTGGCTGACCCCTGATCTAGACAGTCTTGCCCTAGAACCTAGGCTCTTGTTTACATGTTCTGTGAGGAACTGGAGAAATTTCTCCACACCCTACACCTGTTCCTCGTGCTTCACTGAACAGAATGACACTGGGCTCTTTTGGTCCGTTTTCTGATTATAGTTTCCCCATCTCCTTGCCCCGTAGTGAGAGTTACCGAACCCAGAGCATCTTGTTGGACCACCAAGCACCCCTGCCCTCTCTCACCCCTGCCTTTTATCTCCTAGTGAACAGGAGCAAACACATAGTCAGGAAGTTTCGAGGACACCTGCGGACGAAGATTGAGTCTGGGGAAGGGACCATCCCCGTGCGGTGCCACAATGCAGTCCAAACGTGGGATGGCGTCCTGCTAGGGGAACAGCTGGTCACGATGTCTTGCACTGACAAGATCGCCAGGTAATAGCCCGATTTGATTTCCTCTTACGAAAGTTAACTGTGGTCTGTTGTGAGGCTGGGCTGTGGTGCTGGGTCAGAAAAGTCAACAGGCTCCTAACCTGTGTACGTGTCACCCCTGATTAAGATCAGATAAATGCAGTGTGTATAGGGTTGTCAGGTAAACATTGGATGGTCAAGGAAATTAGTAGAGAGAGGCCTCATTCGCCTTGTTCACAGCTCCTCTCGTGAAGACCAGTTTTCACCTTGCACTTCATGTGCTGGCGACAAGCCAGTAACAAACCAGTTGCTGTGAAGTCAGTTCTGATTCACAGCGACATGAGACATGCCTGCGAGGAACGAGTCATCTCCACGGGATGTTCAATGGCTGCTTTTTCAGAAGGGGATCACTTCGTTTTCTTCGAGAAGATTTGGGGTAGATGCCAACTTGGAATTTGTAGAAGATTTGGGGTAGACGCCAACTTCGAGTTAGTAGCCAATGCTTAACTATTTGCATCACACAGAGATTATTGGAGGCAAAGCATCTTTTTTTAAAAACTTTTTATTGTGAATTGAGTGAAGGTTTACAGAGCAAATCCATTTTTTATCCAATAATTCATACGCATTTCATTTTGTCTCATGAGTTGCAACCCCTGCTCACCGCACTTCTTCTTCGTTTTCTATTTCTATTCTGTCTTCTTTTCTAGTCTTTCCTGCTTTCTGAGCGTTGTCCTTGGTTGAATGGTGCCCTTTCTCTCCTCAATGGTTGGGTCCTCTAAGGAATGCATACTTCCCTTGTGCCCTGGTGGTATTGTTCTCATTATAGACCTTTCTATTTGGGGGCTAAACATTGAGTCACTGGGGAAGTAGAGGGTGTTTGAGTTTGGTTTTATGCCTGAAGGGTGACCAAGAGCCATAGATTCAAGGGTTTGGCCAGTCACTACCCAGCCGGTACAGCTGGTCTTTTTCATGGGTTTTGACTTCTGTTCTACATTTTTCTCCCATCCGACCTATGAATGTGAATCCTTTTGAAGCACCCAATGTTGTGAGCCAGGCACCATCTAATTCTTCTGGTCTCAAAGTCATAGTAGGCTGAGGGTCTCATGGTCTTTCAGTCGTTAAAAAACATTAGTTGTATATACCTTTGATATTCTTCACCATTCTTTGTTCTGGAAAGGAGAAGACAGTTATACCTTAGAAGGCTGCCAGTAAGCCATTAAGATTCCAGTCAATATCCTCCAAAGTAGGTTATAGAACATTTTCTTTGTAAAGTGCGTTGTCTGTGAACTTGATATCCCTTATGACTGCAATCCTGAGCAGTCTCAGGCCCAGCGACTCATTCATGAAGCTACTGGTTATAGTTTTTAACTTTGCCCCTTATGTGTTCTACTATCTTTATGGATATAATTATAGCATATACAAATATATAGATGTAGAGATATCTTCTATAAAACATACATATTTATGGGTATAGTCCAAACTCCTTCCCAAACCTGCTCAGCTTGCATATCCATCTATATATCCATGCATAAATTATTGTTATTACTGTTATATTGTATATATAATAATATGTACCTCTGTTGCCTTTAACTCTTGTACTTCTCCCAGGGTCTTTCTTTGCCTTGATCATTTTTTTTGCTGACTTCCCTCTTATTACATGTTTCCTTGCCTTCTACCCAAGCTAATGCATCTACTTTCTTGTTAGTAATTTACCCTCTCTCCCCTCCCACATAATCATTGAGCCTTTTTATGATGAAAACCTTTCATTGATTTTTTATAATAGTTATCTCATACAATATTGTCCTTCTGTAGTTGTTGATTTTCATTCAGTATACTGTCCACCATATCCCTCCATGTCATGAGGTGTCTTGCAGATATATCATTGTTCTTGAACATTGCAAAGTATTCCATTGTGTATAGGTACCATAGTTTCTTTGCCCATTTGTCTGTTGATGGGCATTAAGTTTGTTTCCATCTTCTGGCTATTGTGAATACTGCTGTAGGGAGCATAGGTGTCCCAGCTCTTATTTCTGTAGAAGGTATCAGATTAAGTCCAAAAAATCTTGTTTCTAGGGGTCCAGGTCCTACAGGTACGGTTTATTCCAAACAAAGCATGTTTTAAGATGTCTCTGCTATCAGTAGACAAGGCAGACAAGGTCTCTCAGTAATACACTTGCCTTAATGCCCTTAGGATGTCTTCAAAACTAAGTCCAATAAAAAGAGTGGCTTACAAGGAGCTCTCCTATGGCAGTTAAATTCAAGGCAGAGCAGTCAGCTCAGAAGGTTATAGTAACTGGTTTTTGTTTGGTGGGGGCGGGGGACAGATTCAGAGGGCTTCCTAAGGGGATCATTGCGATAGATTTGCTAAAGGACATGGAACAATAATGGGGGGTTATTAGGAAGAAGCTTCATGAAAATTGAGAAGTCCTTAGTGAGAAATAAGGTCAGGAAAGTTAAACAAGGGTGTGTGTTTTTCTTCAAGAGCAGCAAGGCCTGTCCTACAAGGATTTTGTTTGGACACCTTACTCCACAGCCCTGATCCCACCACTTCAGAATTCTTTTTGTTCCCCAAACTCAAACAGCATTTAAAAGGAAGATGATTTGAGTTCCTGAGGATACCAAAATTGCTGTTGTAAAACACACATATCCTCTGCCTGTTTTCAGTCGGGCTGTGTGTCATTTGCTGTCACGGTGTTGATGTCTTCTGTAAGCTTTAGATATTTGCTCCTTGTCTGATATGTCTGATATGTCCAAGGTTTTTTCTTTTTTCCCCAATCAGTGGATTTTCTTTTTACTCATTAGGTGAACTCTTTGATAAGGATCTAATTTTTAGGCGGTCCCAATCATCAAGTGTCTCTCCTGCTGTGTGTGTATTTTTAGCAATGTTTGATAGTGTATTTAGGCTAGGTATGAAGCCCTTACATTTGTCTCTCGTTTTTCTGTGATGGTCTTTATCTGGTCTTTATAGTTGGGTTTAACATTTAGGTCTCTGATCCATCTTGAGGTAGTTCTTGTGTACAGTGTGAAGCATGGATCCTGCTTCAGTTTTCTGCAAGTGGCTATCCAGTGTCTGCCAGCACCACTTGTTAAAGAGATGATCACTTCCCCTACTTTATTTGAAAACAAATACCGGCCTTTTTTCAAATATGTGTCGTCCTTAGGTAAATAGATTTCATTCTGGGTTCTTCGTTTTTGTCCCACCAGTCTACCTTTGGATAAGGTGGCCAGATTTAAAGCAGGACACCAT